ATGAGTATTTTTGTTCATCGCAGTCAGCCGACAATCCAGGTAAATGAACTACCAACAACAGTATGGCGAAACGGCCGTCTGGTGCTTTTCCGGATAGGTAGTTGACTTACCTGGATTGTCGGCTGACTGCGATGAACAAAAATAAGATGACTCCCTTTGAACTGCGTGGCGGGCGTTGCAACATAAAGCTGCAACACTGTCAGGTCACCTAATCATAGGCAGAATGACAGTTAGAGTGGACAAACGAAGTCTTTAGTAGATAAATTGCTTATTGGTCGAGGGTGCGAGACACAGAACAAATGCGTTGTCTGATCATTATGTGCAACATTCTGGAATAGCGGAGAAAGTATTTTTGCATTTCACAATTTAGGTTCCAGAGAAGTTTTGCGGTGTTCATTTGTTTACAAATACTAAAAATGTGATTAGAGCGTAGGCATCAATCTAGGCATAGCAAGTAGCTCAAGTAAAGTAATACGATCATCCATAGAACCGGGGGACCTGCTTTCATGCGGGGTAGTCCCTGGTAAGGTTTCATCCGCACTTGTACGCCTCATCTGGTCATGTGCTGATGTGGGTTAAATGCAAGTGAGCCGTCATTAACTGGGATTTTGGTCGCTGTTGTTAGCAATAAGCCATCACGTAAAGACTTTTTGTGGCTGCTGTTATATTTAATAGGCCGTCAGCGTGTAGACTCTTTTTTGGAGTCTCACCATAGTAATAGCTGTTTCAGCGCTAAGAAATGAATGTAATACCTTTCGAAATTTTATCCCTGACGAAACTTCACGTATCTCACTAGAAAGCCTGCCCCATACTCATCATTATACACGTTACCTAGAGGTGGGAAACACCTCAGCTACTGTGCCTCAATACATAGAAGAAAAAAGGAGAAAAAAAGCAACTGGTGCAAGCCAGGTAAGCTACCGGTAACAGATAGGCATTGTTCCGATAAGCTACTAGCCGGCTACTGTGCATCAAAAAAATTACTAAGCGAAATTATATAAGGCTAAATAGTGAGATCGTGGTTGGTGGGGGAGGCTAAGAGGGATGGGGTGGACAAAGAAACTCACAGCACAAACGCCACTGAGGTCGGCTCCTAGCCGTATCAACAAGTGTATTCAGCCAAACGTGTTAGTCGTCTTGGGGACCCCAACCAGGGAGCCGAGACGCTCCAACGGAGCCCAGCTCCGAAGTGAGGGCCTTCATTCCTCTCAACCAAGTCATCGCTTGGCCACCCCTCCTCTTCTTCCATCTCCACCCCCGGCGCGCAGACAACGCACGTCGCGGGAGTCAGTGGGCTGGCATGCGTAATACGTGGCTGAACGATCGGAGCGTGGTGCGTGAAATAACGGTGCTGAGCGGTTCATTTCCTTTTCCTGCGCCATAAACAAGGCGTCGAACACGCTCGTTGCATACGCGGTGTTCCCACCAGATGTGAGCTAAATTACGAAAGCACCGGTGGTCGAACGTAATTAGCCTCTTCAGGTCCGCCGATCTTAGGGGTCAGGTTTCGCAACCGTACAGTAGGGTCGAACATACCGCTGCATTGTACACTCTACCCTTCAGGGCAAGAGTGATGTCGCGCCGGCGCCATAAGTGGCGAAGGTTAGCAAAAGCGCCTTGGGCTTTTGCTGTACGGTTCGTGATCTCGTCTTCGATCCCACGGGCGCTGATACAACTTCCCAGGTAGTTGCATTTTCGAATGAATTCTAGCTGATCCCCACCAAGGGTCAGCGCAGGAGGCGATCCCTGCCAATCTTGGAGGAACGCTTTGCACTTCGAGGGTGCGAAGCAAAGCCCGAAGTGACGGACAGCCAGTGCTAATCTGTCCAGTGCCGCTTCGCACGTTTGTGAGCTGTCACAGATTAGGGCAATATCATCAGCATACTCTAAGTCAAGAAGTTGTTCTCCTGGGAGCAGATTCACACCTTCTAAGTCGTGTTCTGTAAAGAGGATCGGTTGAGGAAATGTCCGACTGCCTGGATCTTTTCACTGATACTTCGTTTTTGTTGTTGTTTCTTGTGTGAAACATTAGTGGTTCTTTTAGTCACAGTATCGGATTTGATGAATGTATTTTTCTGGTTGGTATCAAAAAAGCAAAAGGTTAAGTTTCATCTGGTGCAGTCATAATGTACCAAGATGTAAATCCATGCATCGACCCATATATGATAATGTAGAGTAATAGCTCATGAGACGTATAATAAATGACAGTTGCACTCGCTCTAATGCTATACGATCACTCACTCTGATTATGGAGTCATAATCTAGGAACGGTCGTGTTTGTATTTTGTATTTAGCGTTAATTGACTCTTTCAGAGTGGATGTTTTGAACGGAAACGCGATGCTCCGACCAACTTGAGCTGCAGTATGTCCGGCATGCTCAACGAAGTTAACGGCGTTCTAGTTCTGCATCCCTTTGTCACGGAGGGTATGGCACTAAGACGGTTGTTTACCGTCAATCATAAGGGAAACCGGTGTGATTTCACATCCGTAGGATATCACGTGACAGTTGTCAATAGAGAATGATACATTTCTCATTTGGGACACCATGAATCAAGCGTATGTAAGCCACGTTGGGTTACGTTGAGAATATCACTGACAATAGTGGCAAATAGAATAGGTTTGCCAAAGATAAAGATGTCAGAAATTTCATTCACCTATAGTAAGACTATTAAAGGGCCCAGAACACTGCTTTGTATCACGCCACTAGTGTTTGGTTTAGATGGGCTTGTTACACCTTGAACCTAGACAACCTGAGTTCTGTTCGTGAGGTACGAATCAAACCACGACAGCAGTGGGTTGCCTATGCCATGTGCAGCTACTTCGGATAAGAGAGAACCATGCGGAACACGCCTTTTCCATGTCAAAGTAGACAACTGTTGCTGATGAACTACAGTCAAACGAACTATTCAGAAGACTGAGAAAGTCGATCTGGCATGTTATGCAAGATCGTAAACTTAGGAAGCTGTGTTGTGAAGTGTTTTTTACAATTTCGCGTCATCAAAAAATTAACACTTGGACTTTATGTGACGTTCCGTCATCTTAGCGAGAACAGAAGTATGGCTGATTGGACGGTAGTTGCTCGTTTCCCGCGTAAATTCGCTCTTAAACTGTTGCAATGCGTCACTCGCTACTGTTTACTTTCTCGGATAATTTCGGTCACTTTCGCTCGATGTTCCGGACCGTTCATCTTTTGTACATCGTGCATTTTGTTTTTATTCCTGCCCTCGCTTTCTTCATTTCTCGTCAGTCAGGGGCAACTGTTTTCCTTTGTTCTCCTTCGGCAACATGTATAAATGAGAATGACATCTGTCTCTTGCGCATTCGACTGTTCTTCGGGGACTACACAGTAATGTGGGATGGGTAACGTGCGCTTGCTTTTGACGATTCTACTCGCAATTCGTGGAATACGCCCATGGAGATGTAGGCGTTCGATTCAGCGAAGTAATTTCTTTTCGACAATTCTCATCAGGCGAATACATATATAAACGTTAAGGATAGAGTCACGGTCCAGTTTAACTCTCGTATTTTAGTTTACTTGTACCGGTGGTGTAAAATACCTCGGACACACGACCAGACGCTTGGTGAAATGGATAGCAGAACATTGCCCAGCAGCATTGTGAAAACACGCGGTTCGACAAGTCAATATCTCTATTTTGGAACATCTATTCCAAAGCTGGCATCAAGTGGTGACCAAGGAAACTTTCAAAGTTTTCGACATCGTACCATACCGCTACACAAAATGACTTAGAAAACGTCTGCTAAGGACAGCCGAGGCTATTGCGATCAGGCTAATGCAACCTGAACTGTGCAAGCACATCACTTGCCTTGGCCATGATTTCATTGTGGGCGCCGTTCACTACCTTCACGAGTGGTGATTCAGTTGACTCTGTTACCCCCATCGAACGGACGAAATGTCTTGTTTTGTGCGCATATATGTATGTCTGTGCGTGGCTATCACCATCACCTTAAGAGTATGATCGACGATGAGAATTATCGAGAGTACATTTCTTCGTTGCATTGAATGCCTATTCGCAGTTGTTTTCAGATAGTTTCTAACCTTCAGTATCTTGGAATACACTTGCAAGCGATCGGGAAATCATCGTTTCAGAAGGCTTTGTGTATTTGTCGGGCAACTGTTCGCTTTTGATACGTGAGCTTTACCTGAGAAAGCTTTTGTGTCAACAGCGAAAAGTTGTTCAACAAATACTTGTTGTTCACAAAGCTTTCTGACTTTGTTTCCTTGCCCAACACATACCTGTGCAGCAGTAACGTGTGCTTTCACTATCCCACTTGTTAATCGTCGATACCTGCTTAAGAGAATATGGGTACCTTCATGGGTCTTTCGTCTTATTCACGTTTTTCTCATTTGTTTCTTTTTTATCTCCTGCTGGCTATTAACATTTTGCAGATCGCTTGACAGTATTTGCTGAAGACCAGAGTAGTCAGTGCACGTCACTGTTCAAGCTAGGTGTTTGTGCTCTTGTTGGTTTAAGATGTGTCCTTGCTTGTATATTTTGATGGACGTAGCATCCAACTTTGTCTTTTCTGCATTACTTATCTGATCCTTGCTGTCCAATGGACGTCACAGGTTATGAGATGCATCACACCCATTTCATTAGAACTGTTTTATCTGCGCACTGAATATTGACCTCTTATCACTAATACACTGTCTTCTGCAATATCCGTCTAATCTTTTTTTCACGCGTACATTCATTTGGATTTCCGTTTTAGCGTATTCCGTTCCGAGCCGAACAAGAACGCGTCCGTTTGCAGTGAGCGGTCGTGGTCGCAACACATGGAAGCGATCCGCCATCTTCCGCTTGTCCCCTTGTCCAGAAGAGACACCAAGAAGCGAGTGCGATCTCTCATCTCCTGGAAGTGAAAATCAGGATGTCAGTCTTCTTGCTTTCAGAGGTTGCTCAACTGTTGTAGAAAGTTCGTCAGACACTTCGATTGCATCGCATTTACCGTTTCATCGTGGTTGTACTCACCGTCCAGTAATGCCCCCGGGACCTCCTACTTCCCCGGTTCCTAGTCCACCCTTGCCTGTTGCACCCATGCAACCGTGTCCATTGACACTTGACTCGCTCCCAGACACTCTAACTAGTGGTCCATCTGCTTCCACCTCGTTTTCCACATCACAGAAATCGAAAATCCCTTACGCGCTGCGTAACTGCCTACGCCGACGTCGGAACGCCATTTGTGGGCACAACTCCTTGGGTCAAGGTCTGAAAGATTTTTTTGCGTCCTACGTCATGTCACACTTGAGCGAGTCCATGTCCTATTCGTTAAACTTGAATTCCACAATTCCGCTTCCCCCAACACAACGTGTATCACAGTCCGCTTCAGCCCCTGATGACCCTACTGCGGTATTGAATGACCCCGAAACCTCAATGGAGTGAACGATCATAATCCTACGGAATCGTTTATTTCGCATACATGTAGTTCTGCTGACGGAGCTCCCTCGTACACCTGGTTTTTCTACCTGAGTCCTACTGACAATCATCACGATATTCGCATCTTTGGAAGTTGGTGCCTTCTTTCTGAATTCCTTTTTTTCAGATATTTCTCAAACAGTGCTTGTCATTTCTATCTTAATTTATGCTTTTATGCCGTTTGCCTATCCATAAACAGATAAGCTCAGCAATCTTTTCTTGTCTTTTGTATCTTGTGCACCTTCATTGCATTGTCTCCGTTGCTTTTCCTCCTTTAACCACCCCAGGGATTGTTTTCATATGCATACGGAATCCTGTGATATTGTGTACCAAACTGGACTAACTCGCAATTGATTTTCTGCACTGCCAGTCCATATTGACATTGGCCCGCGAAGTATCAATCCCATTTGGATACTCCCAAGCACCGCGCATACACATGTACACCATCCTTATACAGAGCTCATATGCTCATCTGAATGCTTCACCTTAGTTCACTAGATGAACGGTTTTTTGTCGTCTAGTTTACTGTATTACGACACGATCCAAATTAAATCCACTATTGCGTTTGTGGCACCTTCCTGTCTTTGCGTTCCAGCATCCAGCCCCATTCTAATGTGATTTCACAGACACGCCTGTCCGATTGGCTGTTTGCAAGTAAGGTTACGGAAGATCAACTGATACTCAGTTACTTCTGTTCTTTCTTCACAGTTTTGTAGAAACGAGGAGAGCAACTCAAATCTCGAAGTGCTGGTAGCCAAATTTGCTCACCGATACAAGAAACAAAACGCTCGTTAGGCGAAAACCTATTTCGTCCTTGTGACTCGACCTGACATCGCACAGCACCGGTCGAATGGTTTGGCTCGTTCCTTTCGGTTTATAATATGACTCTTTGTTGGTAGTTTCGTCACGGCGTGAGTTACCGTGCTTCTGCAAACACAGCAAGGCCATTTCAACTAATTAATTTGAGCATGGCCAACGGCTATTTGCCGCCAAGCTGTGCGTTTCTTGACGAGTTCTTACCTACACTTCATTATACTTGTTAATCACTTCAGTTTTGTATCAGTGTGACATTGCGAACAGATGAAAAGTACTTTGTTGATGAAATCTAACGGAGGATTCTGACTAACGGTGTTGAGCGGTTGTTATTACTTAATAAATTCTAGTCTAGCAGAGCAGCTGTCTATACATACAGCAAAGTTAACGCTCTCGATGGATACACCATCAAAACCATGACAAAAGCTTTTTCCGTCACTTGATTTCACCGACCTTGAGGCCCCAGTTTGCAACTTTCAGTTACTCACCAAAATGAGTTTCTTTGCAAGGAGACTGCACTCCCCTCTGCTAACTCGCACCCTTCAACTCCACTCTCGCTTCCCATTCAGCTTGACTTATCGGCCCGTAGCCTAGTGCTAACGAGCTTGTCTCTCGGCGCGGGTTCGAATCCGCGTAGGGGTGGGCGTCCTCGCGGTATACTCATGCCGCGTGCGACTGGTAGTGGTCGCACGGCAGTAAAGCGCCGTTACGGCATGCAGCTGACACATTTTGATTACTATTCTTTGCCGAGAAAAAAACCGCTTTTCCTAGGAATGCACTCTTACAGCTTAGAGCTGGCCTGACATTCCAGTATCGATTACACGACTCAAGGGCTGCTTCTGATCGATCGTGAACTCATTCTGACTTCTGTCTGTTCAGACAGCCGGATTCCTTGGTTCGTTTGAGATTAGGATGCTTGTATGAGGGCTTGCTGTTTCTTCTGGGGCCCATCGTTGCTATTCCCTCATGGGTTCTCGGTATGCCAGCACAAAAGTATTTTTTGACGGCACAGGTGTGATTGTTTAATTAATTTATTTGTTGTCGATCACTTTCGACTATCTGAAACAACTGTTATAAGCAGATTTTCGGGTTTTGAAGCACCCGTCGTGTGTCTTGGATTTCGCTACGCAATCTCAATTGTGGCCTCGGTTGACTTTGAGTCTCCCTCTGCCGATCCGATCACTGCGACCATCACCGAACATTTCGATTGTTCTCTTCAGTCGCAAACACAATACGAACAGAAACACACAAAGGATTATATACATGGAAAAAGTAAGCAACACCAGTCAGAATGTCACAGTTAAGACCATGGCAACCGAATTGATTGCCTCAAGAGTTTCTGTGCACATAGCACAGGTTGATAAGCCTTAATTAACAAGATCTGACTAATTGCTAGCATTATCGGGTTTTTGTTACGTAATAACACTTTGAATGCTGTCTCGGGTTCATGTGATGACGGGTTGCCATGAGGTGCTTAATGATAGACGATGCCGGGCTCCGATTAATTCTCAGATCCATCCCATTTTGTTGCGTAATCACTTGTCCCACCCACTTTGGCAAATATTCAGCTACCCTCTTAGCTAACTGACGGTTTGTTCTGCCTATGTAAATGTCGCCGCAACCGCAGGTGAACTGATAAACAACGTGAGAGGCTGAACTACCCGACAAGATACTCTGACGGTTATGAAGAACAAGTCCTCGCGTGGTATGCCTGAGTCGCAACTGGGCTGTCGTGTAGCTGCGCGTTAGGAAGGACCGGAGCTTGCATGCGATATCATTCGCCCCATGGTTCCCCTTGAACGGTAAGAACAAATAAACATCCTTTTTCTCAGCCGTCAGCACCGGTGTTTTCACGCTGGGAGGTCTACTGTGTACTTGAATAAACTTCTCAGGATATCCGTTAGAAATTGGGACAAGTGATTACGCAACAAAATGGGACGGATCTGAGAATTAATCGGAGCCCGGCATCATCTATCACTAAGCACCTCATGGCAACCCGTCATCACGTGAACCCGAGACAGCATTCAAAGTGTTATTACGTAACAAAAACCCGATAATGCTAGCAATTAGTCAGATCTTGTTAATTAAGGCTTTTCAACCTGTGCTATGTGCACAGAGACTCTTGAGGCAATCAATTCGGTTGCCATGGTCTTGACTGTGACATTCTGATTGGTGTTGCTTATTTTTTCCACGTATATAATCATTTGTGTGTTTCTTTTCGTATTGTGTTTGTGACTGAAGAGAGCAATCGAAATGTTGACGTATCGCAACCTCTGTCTTCTCTCTGCCTTAACGAAACATCACCGAAGTGACGGACGTTTGTCTTGCTCTCTCCTGTCCCTGCACTCCACGACGCGTTCCCTTCTTGCTGGAACTCATCAGGTAGGCATAGCCTGAGCTGAGAGTGGAACTCGGCCTATAGTGGTTGGCCGCTATCGCCTTAATCAATACGCGATTGACCTCCATGAGTAGGGCTTGATACAGCGGATCGAAGTTGATTTTCAGGTTTTGGAGCACATGCTTTGTGTCTTGGATTGCGACACCTATTGAGATAGTCGCCAGTCATTATGTGCCGAGTTCCATTCCTAGCTCATGTCATCTCTACCTGATGGGTCCCAACAGGGAGGAAACGCGTCGTGGAGTGTTGGTAGGAGAGTGCAACATCGAGGTCCTCCGCTTCGGTCCAGTGATCGGATTGGCAGAGACTGATCTCAAAATTAACCGAGGCCATAATTTAGATGGCGTATCGTAATCCAAGCCACATGGCGGGTGCTCCAAAACCCGAAAATCAACTTCTAACCGCTGTGTGAAGCGCTGCTAGCGGAGCTCAATGGCCTAGTGATTATGGCGATAGCCGCCAACCACTGTGTGCCGAGTTTCATTCCCAGCTCAGATTATCTCTACCTGATGGGTCCCAGCAAGGGCGAAACGCGTCGTGGAACGCAGCGGTGGGAGAGAGGGCACCACCGAAATCATCCACACTGCGTCCAGTGTAAATGCATTCCCTGGTAAAGTAGACACACGCACTGTATTTGTCAGTGCGTCGATGGGTGTCGGTTCTGTCTTAACAGTATCCTCTCACTGAAACCGAATGCGACCGAATAATATAGCACAAATTCCTTCGCAGTCTTCTTGAAAAATACCGTGTTGGAATAAGCTTGGGATCTTTAAAGAGCCTCGAGGTTTTTGCGTCGAACAATGTTACACGGATGAGGAATTCGTTTCAAGGTGATAAAGTTGTGCGCTTGGAGTTAAGCACGATAGCCGTTAAACCACCTGGTATTGCTCGAATCGTCAATAGTAGATAATAATTTCATGTAGGATAGTTCGGTAAATACTGCTAGTAATTCCGTTTCGCGTGTCCTGTGCGGTTGCATGACGAATATCGGCAACGGTAACTGGAATCCCACAGATGCACCCGCAAGCTTTCAATTAACAAACTCATTTACTAAAATATACTGAGATGTTGATGTTTAAAGGCCACCACACCGCTTTTGTCGTAACATAATTAGAAGGAGGATGTGGAGCAACTGAAATCTAAACCTGCAGATTTTGCGTGTCTATCCGTGTAGTGCATACTAACTACGTGGAGGCTGTCTATTGTTCGGAATACGATTAAGCATAACTAATATTTGCCGAAAACTCCTGCTTGCCTCCATATGCTCGCGTTCTGCTATAGTGTCTAAATGCTTGTCCTGTGATGAATGGCTTACTTTCTACCCCAAATCTGTGCAATGTATCCTCTGTGATGGGTGGACACAGCTTTCTGTATTCTCTATCCAGATTATTTTAATACCTCCAGTGCGCCACCACCCCAGGAATCGTCTTCTTTTGCGACTCCTGCCACGCTACGTTAAGCAACAGGCGTCTTCTTGATGAACGCCCATTACTCAACCCACGTTTCTCTGCTGCTCAAACCGAGACGAACATCCCCATGCTTTATGTCATCTGCTTCTGGCTCTGTTACTTCTACGGGAAAGCGAGGCCGGGCACTATCTGATTCACTTTCGGGGACGCCGAAGGTTGTTAACCAGTGCGAAGAGCCTAAGACCAATACGGATGCAGTCGTAGTCAAAAAAACCGCGTCACCAGCCTCATCAGTACAAGTGGCTGGAAATAAAATCTAAGCCATCATCTTCTCAATCGCACTTGAT